AGCTTTAATTTCAAATAGGTGAGCTGTTCCCAGTTAAAAAGCGTTGACTCTCTAAGTTGACAATGACACCTACACAGCATAGGTTTCCTGTATTTCATATTTTTTCAAGTGGGGACGTTACATTGCCTTTGTGGAATTTGATTAGAGATGCCTGGTTTATGTGCTGGAACGTGCAGCAGGGAAGGCATGGTGTTTAAATCTGACTGCACAAACCCCGTGGGCTGTTTATCCCAGGAAGCAGTTGGGCATTCAGGGTGCTTTGGGAAAGACCCTTATGGCAGGATTGCAAATTCAGCTCTGCTGCTCCAGGATTTTGGGGAGTTCATATGAGCTTTCTAACAAATTCATTTTAGTGCTTTGATGGTGGTAAAGCTCATTGCTCTCACTTTTTAAATTGAGGTGAAAAGAAACACTTTTCAAACGGGCCCTGCAGTGGCTGAGACTAAAAGTGTCCTCCTTCTGGGGAGGAAATGGTGGTTACAAATGAAATTGTTTATCGAGTCATAATTACAGGGGCATGACCACAGCACTGAACGAGTACTCAGCTGCTAAGTTTTTATTCAAAGTTTGATGAAAATGGAAACCACAAAATGAAGGCAGAGGTGGTTTGAATTTTACCCCAGAAGCCAGAGGTAAATAAGTAACCCTGTTATTTTGTGCCTTTTGGGGGTGTGTTACAGAACTAACACCGATTATTATAGCTCAGCTAATACGTGCAACCCACAGTCCTCAGCTGCTCCCTCCCCGTGGGTCCAGGAGGAGAGGTTTGCTTGGATATATCCAAACAAGCTCATTTGGATCCTTTGTGGCAGACAGGCACAAGCAGAGGACTGACCTCATGTTTGCTTAGCATTCATCAGGTATAAACTATAGAATCCTAGGATAGTTTGGATTGGAAGGGACCTTAAAACTCATCAAGTTCCACCCCCTGCCATGGGCAGGCACACCTTTCACTACCCCAGGTTGCTCCAAGCCCTATCCAACCTGGCTGTGGACACTTCCAGGGATAGGGCAGCCACATGATTTTACATTCCCTGTGAGGTGTGGTACAAGAATGAGCTGTTGCATGAGCGGGCATTTGCAGACCACAAAGGAATTTCAATTTCTGACAAGCCCTATTGTTCTGAAATCAGTTGTGCAGCAAGACACGAGGGAAATGTGCCAGTTCCAGTGGCTTTAGCAACTTCAAGGACAGTGAAGAGGGGAACTGGTTTGCTCTATTCATACTGCAGTTTTTTCTCTGCATGTATTTGCACCTCCTGAGTGGTGGATCAGCTGTAAGCAGGTCTGGAGGCGAATTAGAAGTGTCTCCCATACTGAGAGCTAAATAGAAATAGCATTTGTAACTATGGGCTGGTGCAGAAGCTATGCTGTGTTCATATATGCTATATTTTCCTATAGGCTGCTGGCTTTCTGTTCTGGGTTTGGTGAATATCAGGATTTTGTCCCAGGTTTGGCTCCTTCAGCGAACTGAAACACCTGGGAGAGACTAGAGTGGCTTTTTCAGACTTTTTATGGTCTGTTTCAAATAGAAGTATGGAAGAACTTGCTGTGTTTGGTTTGTGAGATGAATAAAGTGTCCATGTACTACTGTGGAGGCATGTATAATCAAAGGGCCTTGTCCAGTGTCCAGCGCTCACTATCCCTGGAGGTGCTCAAGGAGCAATGGATGTGGCACTCTGCTCTGGTTGACAAGGTGGTGATTGGTCACAGGTTGGACTCAATGATCCTGGGGATCTTTTCCAGCCTCAGAGATTCTTTGCTAGAGCAGTATTGATGCGGGGTTTGGAGTCCCACTCCAGTGTTCTGCACAGCGTGTCCGTGAGTACTTTTAAGGTTTACTTTTGCCCAGGTGTTGGAGAAAGCCACTCGCCTTCCCCATGGCGCAGCCCCGGAGGATGCAGCTCCCTTCCTGTTCCAGTTCCTGTCTGGTAACCTTATATTACTATGCCACCCACAGGCAGCTACTGAGCTGCTGGAAAACATTTGCAGTTTGCATAGGGAGCCACTTATCAAATGTTATATCTGTGACAAAAAGCCACTGGTTTCTTTGACTGTAATATGAACTGTATTGAGGTTTTCAATCCTGGTTATTCCAATTTTCTATTTAAACTGCACATGGAGTTCTTATGCTAATGTCTGATTTTTCCACTTCTTCCACAAAACTCATTCCTTGTGTTAACCAGCTGCTGTGCTCCTGCTCAAAGCCATTACTTCCCAACAAGTGCAAAAATGTTTGTAGTGTTGGGATCCTTGGAAAGAGAGGGAAACTGCTGGGCTGTTAATTAGTGGTGCACCCCTTTTTGGCATGTTGCCACATTAGGCTGCAGAACAACTGGGTTTAATCTGTGCGGTTTTACTGAGGAGGAATATTCTGATTTCCCTCCAACTGACCTCTCCACTGCTCAGTGTGTGATGAGTGCAGAACAAACTGGGTCAGCCGAGACTGCTCAGAGGATTTTAAAACCAGCATTTGTAGTTCTAGCAATTTGCAGAAACCAGCAAATGATGTTCAAACCATATAAGCAAAGGACATGAGCAAACCAAGACTTCTGGGTGGATCTGGTTTGTTTTTAGATGGAGTCATAAAAATATATGAGCTTTTTGGCATCCACTGACTGGAAAAGGGGCTTGTGCATCTCTTCCCCTTTGTACCACTCTATTCAGCTAGAGGTTAATTATACCTGTACACCTTGTCTTGTAATCTTACTAGGGCATTTGGCATGGTTGATCTATTCAGGTTTTTTAAGAATTTCCTTTGTAATACTTAAACTCCAGTTGTGCACCTGTGCTGTAATCTGTCCTTTGGGAGAATACTTTGGTGCTGTTGAGGTATTCTGCTTTGTAGAACAGAATTTTAATATTGTTTACCACGCTCTTAATCTCACTGCTGGCAGATAAAATGAGTTTCTTTAGCCCTCCCCCTGAGGACCTGATGGAGCTTCATGGCCAACAGACCCATGGCATTAGGTGGAGTTATCTCAGCTTTGCAAAAATCCGCTCATCTGTCTTCCTGGAAGGAGTAATTATTGGTGAGAGAATAAAATATTGATTTATTTTTGAAATTGCATTTATAAAAAGGAACAGGCAGCCAGATCCACGGGCTAGGTGGGGAGGGGTCGTAAGTCTGGCCCTTGAGAAACATTTGCAGCAGGGGAAAGTCCTGATGGCTTGGATCAAGCATTTGAGTGGAGTTTGGCAAATCAGGGAGGAAGACTCGGGATGTTCTCTGAGTGAGAACTCGGGCTGCTCTGTGCCTGGCTTCCATCTCCATGCTGGCCTTATTCCTGGTGTTGACTTTTTCTTGTTATGATGGTGAGCGGCTGTGGGCAGCATCAGCCCTTTGCTGGGCTCTCATCACCTGCCCCAGTGGGAGCCTCTGGGTGCTGCTGCAGAAATGTAGATTTTAAAGTAGTGTAAAGCAGAGGGCTAAAGTGGCAGAATGAACAATAATCTAATATTTGTTTATTGGCTGTTACTACCACCATATTAGGTCAAAATTAATAATCACCTGGGAGTTGTCAGGTGAGCTTGTTTAATTTCATGGGTCATGGTCTGTATTAATGCAGGACCATGTTCCTCAAGCTATGGGTGTGTGTTAACCCTTCCCTTTCCCTCCAGCTGGTGGATATAGTTCCAAACAGTTATAAGAGCATCCTTTCTCTCCCCCACATGCATTTTTTTCCAGGACAACCTTGGGTTTTGTGTCTCATTACAGTAAAAGCCCTGTAGTAGCTGCCCAGCTGCTGTCGTGTCCCTCTCTGGAATGGTGATTTAGAGCTGAGCCAGCATGGAAACTGCGTTTCCATGCCTCAGGCAAGCCTGTTGGCAGCCACTGTGGAGAAGTAATGTGCCACTTCTGCTTGGAAGAGTTGTCAGTTTTCTAGTTTAGTTGGGAAAAACGACCAACATTGGCTTAGGTTTTAGCTGGACTTTTGGAAGCAAGTTGTAGTCTTTTGAAGGAAGCTGTTCATGTTACTGGAGATGAGCAATGAGGACAGAAGGGTCCAGCTAATGAGCTTCATTCTGAAGGAATGGTTAATATTCTAGAGGTCTGGGTAAGGATTACTGAAAATGAGACTGTGAGGAAAGGGGGAAGCTGTAAAGGGGTATTCAATGAAGCTCATGGATGCGGACTGCCCGAGGCTGGAACAAACAGCAGCATCTTGGTGTGCAGCCTCGTGGTGGTTTGAGCTGGGGCTGCCAAGGTCCTGTCATTCCCAGACCACTCCTCTGGACATGCTTGGTGTGCATCAGGGTCAGCTTTGACTGTTCCCAGAGCCGCTGGATCGGGGCTGGTGCATGGAAGGGGTAGGAGGGCATGGGAGGAGGGCCAAAGTCTGGAATTGGGCTGGTTTGTGTTGCTGGGGGACAATGTGAGCACATGGGCAGAGCTGGGAAAGACAAAATTCCCTGTGCAGCAGGGAGTGCGTTATGACTGAAGAAATAGGGTACAAAACACTCCAGCATTGCTGTGAAACAGTCCTTTTCTATTTTGTGTGAATTAGCTGCCTAGCTGGAAAGAAGCCATCGCTTTACTGCAGGAGTTCAGAGCCAGGTCAATGGAACAGAAATATATTCCTAGAGTGATACAAAGAGCTGGGGAAAAAGCTGTAAAGTGTTTGAAGTCTGGAGGCAGACAAAGGCCGTGGTTCTGCTGCTGGGGTGGCTAAGAGTACCAGAGGGGCGAGTCCTGAGCGCTGAAAGTTGCTAAGCTGTGCCAGCAACAGGGCTCTTGGAAACAGGAATTTCATACAGCTGTCAGGCCCAGGGCATGTAGGGCACTCAGAGGACTTGACTATTCAGAGGAGCTGTGGCATGTCATGCTAGAGGAAATGAAAAAGCCATGTTTTCTCAGAAGTAGGTATCTGGGGAACCTGTGACAGTAGGGGATAAAAGCAAATTTCTGTTCTGTGGAGTGGGTTATCTCAAATATTATACCAGAATACAGCTTTCCAATTAGCCACTTGTAGTTAACGCTGGCAGCAGGATCTCTACTGCTTAATCCATTTCTTTGGTGAGAAGTACCTGTTCCTTAGTGCAGGCGGAGCTGTGTGCTCCTGCTTTGGCAGCCTGTGGCAGTACTGCAGGAGCGTGGACTTTGCTCCTTCTGCTACCCTGGCATCACTTTTTTTCCCCCAATGTGCTTTTTATGCTTGTACTGTTAATAACCAGATATTGTGGATTTAGTGTTCTGCTCAGAAAGATCCTCCCAGCACAGACTGAGGTGCTTCCAGCTGTGCCATCAGGCAGTGACAGATGTCTCCGGTGTGCAGTGAGTGTCCAGCAGTGACGGCTGCCAGGATTAGTATTCCAGGCACAAATGTGCCCCTTGTAGTGCAGAGCTCAGAAAAGCCTGTGCAGCAATGCCCTTGAAAGGCAAATTAAACCCAGCTCCCTGGGAGCAGTGGGAACGCTGCTGTCATTTGTGCTGAGGTTCAAGTAGGCCTTGAGGTGGCAGTTTCAGTTTCCCTTCTGCTTTTCTTCCCAGAAGGGTGTGCTTGAAGGGGCAGGCAGGCATGGTGGTGGATCTTCCGTCTTCAGTGGGGGAGCATTCCCTGGCAGGAGATTGGACCAGATGATGGTCAGGCTCTGCACCTAGGGAGTAAGGGACAGGATAAGAGAAAACAGCCTGAAGTTGTGTCAGGGAGTTTTAGGTTGGATATTGGAAAATTTCTTCACCAAACTTTGTCAAGCTGTGGCACAGGCTGCTCAGAGCAGTGTTGGAGTCACCATTCCTGGAAGCGATCAAAAACATGTGGGTGTGGCACTGGAGGACGAGGGTTAGTGGTTGTCTTGGCAGTGCTGGGTTAATGGTTGGACTCAATCTTTATCTTAGAGGGCTTTTCCAGCCTAAATGATTCTGTAGTTCATTCATTCCAGTTCTTGCAAATTGTGTCCTACATGCAGCATGTGAATGCACCAAACCATGCATCCAAATGTGTGTGAAAGCTGTATTTTAACAGTGCTAATGGATTATACTGTAGGGATTGAAGGTGTTTCCTGAGCACTTGTGGCTGTCTGCCTCTGAAATCAAAACCTTCTGATGTTCTTGATCCACTCATTTGCTGCCCAGAAACTTGTACAGATATTTGGTCTTTCTTCTAAGCTGTTTAAAGCTGTGATCCCCAATTATGTTTTGAGGGTTTAATTGCTCTGTTGAGGTGTTTCCCCCTTCCATTCCAAGAACATCACTGCGCTGGAATTTGAGCTGCATCAGAGGGAAGTAGCCTGGAGCATAGTTGTCTGATCCAAGGAAGCATTTTCCCACACACAGCTGAGCAAAGCAAAGCTGGAAAGCCCCACTGGCAGAGCTTCCATGGATGGTGTGGTGTGGTTGCCTCCGCTGACACTGCAGCCCTGGGATGCTCCAGTGCTCTTGAACAAGCTGAGCACGTGCTGCGCAGTCAGCACGTTGTCACATGAAGATGACAAGCTCATATGATGTTAAACTAAAGCCACCAAACTATGCTTTGCTGCTGGGACCAAAGGTGATGAGTTGGCTTGGGCTTCATGAGGAAGAGGTTGGGCTGAAGTGGGCTGTGGATAAAGGCTGGCTTTGACTCCTTGGTGCTGGAACAACCTTATTTTGTAGTTCTTCCCCAGTCACCCCATGCTGTTCCCGCTGACATGTCCAGTTGTGGTTGTCTAAGTTTGGACTGCAAGATTTTGAAGACAGAACCTCCCTTTTTCTAAAATGTTGAGCCTGTTTTTACTGTGCTACAGAATCTGTCAAAATCAAGACACATCATGATTTCCCCAAACTTATTTCCCCAGGCATCTCATTTCAGAACTTTCTCCAGAAAAAAAACCCTGTCTTTTCTACTAAAATCTTGGTTCCTTTTTTTTTTAATCTCCCCTGCCTCCTCAGTATGTGCATTGATGCTGTGTGGCATCTGAAATACTTCCTGTGCATGTGCTGTGCTGCCTTTGCTAGATAAGCAGTAGGCTGTTCCCTTTTACAGCAGGCACATCCCTTCCTGAAGAGGCAGATGTTTTCCCTGGGAACAAATATTGCAGCTTTGTAATTATGTCACCTAATTTTGTTTCTCTTTTCTTTCCATCATAGCATGTGTGTGATTAGAAGCTTCTGATGCCTTCAAAGAGGGATGACAATGTCACTCTTCCACGCTGGGGCAGGATTTCTGCTCTAGGTTCCCTCCACGCTGGTTTTGTGTAGGCTGAGTAGGTTTTGTGTAGACCTGCTAGAGAAATAAAACTAAATCTGAGCTTTGTTCACACTTGGAATTTTAATTTGTGTGTTGACTTTGTTTCCTGTTTTTGTAGGAATTTCTTTGGACACTAGAGTACAAGAGGAATGGAAGAGAACGCCGGTGAGTACAGACTCGGATATCTTACCACAGATTATGGACCTGACCTGGCCTTCCTGGTTAAGCATCATAAAGAACCTGATTATTTTAAGTTTGGTGTCTTCATTTGCAGTGTAGAAGGTGATTAGAAAATAATATAGTTTGGCAGATGCATCAGCTGCATTTGTACTGTGGTGTGGACCAGATCTGACTGAAGCTCTGTAAATATGGAAGATCTTCTTTGGAATCTCCCATCTGTGAAACCTGGAATACTGGTTTCTTGGCTATCCCAAGTTCTTGAAAACAGGTAACATCCCCTTTCTTAATAAGGAAGAGGCTAGAAGGAATGAGCTGATTTGAACAAGGCACATGGTGAGGCATAAAGAAAGATCAGCTTCTGGTTGTTCCTGTTTTGTATTTATTCCTTTAGGCTGCTCTGTGTTGCATAAGATAGAGGATTTAAAAATTTTTTTTAAATAAAATTTAAATCTCTTGCCTTAGGCAGTGTGTAATGCTTGCCCTGAAGCAATCAAATTCATTGCTGGTAGGTTTAACTGATGCAAGGATATGGTTGTAACTGAAACTCACAGATTTTTTTGCATAGAGATTGCCTTGAAGAGCTCTTCCATCTGTTTGCCTAAAATGGCTACAAGAAAGAAGTTAAATGCCAATTTTTTCCCTGCCATTGCTCTGAGATTTGCATGAAAACTCTTGCTTGCACCATGAGAAACCAGTATCCACATAGTGTATTGGCCTCAAGTCTTCTGGACTGTGATACTGCAGTTGATGATTCTAACTCGTAAATAATATTTCTGGGTTATTCTATGCAGCCAGGTGATGCCATCCTGAAAACTTTGGGAATTATTGTACTTGTCAGCAGGGCAGTATGCTTGGTGAGGCAGATGAAAGCCAGTTTTTGGCTTCATACAGAGCTGGTGTGTTGGAGCCCAGTGGCCTGGTTAGATCATCTGCAAGTCCTGGTGGCAAGAGCTGCTGTGCCCTTTCTTTGTTAAGCTGTAAGGTGCACATTTAATCTGTGGTGATTGCTTTCCCTTATGATTTGCTCGTGGCAAACTCATTCCAAATGATGACTTGTGGAGGAGGTGGAGGGTGAAGTGAGTGTGGCACAGGCAGCGAGGCTGGAGCAGTGCCTGTGGAGGTGGCAGCTCCTTGTCAGCCCTGGGGCAGAGCATGGCAGAGCAGGGCCGTTTTCAGTCTCTGTAACTTCAGTTACTGGGATGGTGTTGAGCAACATCAAGGCCAGGTTGGATGAGGCTCTGAGCAGCCTGGTCTAGTGCCACAGCAGGGGGTGAAACAAGATATTCAAGGTCCCTCTCATCCCCAGCCATTCTGTGGTCAGTGAGCTCTCCTCATTCATCAGGACTCAGCCTGTGCTGGGACTGCCACCAGCCACTTCTGTTCACATCACAAAGCTTTTGTGTCCCTTTTCACGTGCAGTTGAACCCCATTCTTTGGCTAGATCAGCGAGACACAGAGCTGGAGCCTTTTGAAGTTTTGGGAGTGCTGAGTTTTGATGAGTGCTGGTGGCCTGGGATGTGAAAAGCATTTTGTTTGCGTTTTGCCAACTTTACTTAAGTTACTTCACCTTTTCCTCTGGACAACTTGAGCGGTGCCAGTTTAAGATGGAGGATCCGTGCTGGATCTTTGCATGCACAGACACTCCTGATGGCTGGTCACAAAGATTTACCTCCTTAGTGCTGGAAGCCAAGAGCCCTCTATTAAAGACAGAATAAATAGATGGATCTTTTATTTTAATTTCCTTGAAATTCCTTTGATTTATGGATATTCATTCTCCGAGTGCTAAGCTCAGAACTACTGGGTTGATCCCAGAGGTGAGGCAAGATGGAGCTGAGCTGAAGTCCAAGTCAGTGCCCTTTGTTCCCTGCAAGCCTGGTGCTTTGTATGCATTGCTGTCCTTCCCTGGTTGGATATTAACTGCACTCACAATGCTGCATGGCTGGTGCTTGTTTGAACTGGTGCGCTTGGAATGGCCATTGGGAATGCACAGGGAAGCGTAAATCCTTTTGAGCTGCCAGCCTTCACCAGCCATGGGTGGGTGGGGGAGCCTTCCTTGGCTGACTGCCCTGGCTAATTAGAAATGAAATTTGCTGTTGTCTTCAGATTTTAATTCATGCTCATCCCTGAGGACGAGTGGAAGCCAGGTCTCCAGGCAGCTGCAGTGAAGTTTCAGAGCTGTCCATACATGGTATTCTAGAACAGGTATGCAGCTTAAAATTTGCTCACAGTCTTGCCTTGAATTAAGTATAGAGAAGAATACACAGAAACTTCTGGCAAACTTTGGGACGTGGCCGTGAGTGACGGTAGGTTAAGCTGCCACATGTGGCCTTAAACTGAAGGAGGATGGGTTTGGATTGGATATTAGGAAGAAATGCTTCCCTGTGAGGGTGGTGAGGGACTGAAATGGATTTCTCAGAAAAGCTGTGGCTGCCCCATCACTGGAAGTATTTCGGGCAAGTTTGGATGGGGCTTGGAGCAATCTGGTGTAGTGGAAGGTGTCCCTGCCCATGGCATAGGGTGGAATTGGATGAACTTTGAGGTCCCTTCCAACCCAAACCATTCTGGGATTCTATGATTTTACATCAGTTCTCTGCAGCAAATTTGGAGGGGTGTGTTGTAGCCAGGGCAGCCTCACATGCCTTTGTTTGTCACTAATGCTGGACTTAAAACTGAATTCCTTCCGTGTAGGCTTTTCCTGTGCCACTGGCATTTGATTCAGGAATGTACAGACTGCCGAGGTTACAGTGACACGGATTTGGTAGAGGTTCTGAAGTGGGGAGCCTGCAGAGTTCTGTGAGGAGATGAGAGGTGGTGCAGGTGCTGCAGCAGCGCCAGCTCTGCTGGTCCTGCTGGAGGGACAGTGCTGCCCTGGAGAGGCCAGTGCTGCTGGTGGGAGGATGGAGATTAAGGGGGGGAACAAATGAAATCTAAATATACACATGCTGCCAGTCCAAGCTTCCTCAAGGTTCCACCTACACAAGTGATCTGTTGAAGGGAAATGTCTCTGGAATACCTTTCCCTTCTTCAGATCCTTCCTGTGCTGCAGGTCAAGAATCACACTATTTTTGGAGCCTGTTTTTACTGTTCATCTACTGCCTGTCACTACCCAGGCTCCCTCCCAAAGACCACTCACTCACCTTACCATGATCTGAGATAGGTTTGGAACTTTTTCTTTGTCAAAAGATTGTGTTCTGTCTAGTATTTCATCTGTCTGTATGTCTCAGAGATCTAAAAAGCAGCATACTGAAGTAGAAGCTTTGTGCTTGGCAGGGGAAGTTTCCCCTTATTGCGCATGGTTCCTTGAAAGCTCTGCTGCCATGTTGGATCAACCTAAGGTGGAAGCAGACCTGCAGTTCACTTGCCCAGTAATGAGCAATCATTAATGAACAGGTTCAGAGGGAGCATGGAATGCCTTTTTGTGGAAGGTTTTTGCTGTTGGATACTTTGAGCTCCTGTACTGCACACTCTGTTGACAGCTTCTGCCTATGCTTACACACTTCTTCTGCAGGTATTCAGATAGGAACTTTTAAGTCCCTAAAAGGTCTAAATCTCTGTGGGACACCTGTGAAACATTTGAGGAAATTAATGAAGTAGCCTTTGCACATACGGGTTGTTAGCCAAAGCTGATTTTTAAGAAAGCTCCTGAAATACTAAGTTTATGTATGCTTTAAGAATCTTCTGCAGCTACTGCTTTATTCCATGCTGACTTTCATCCTCTTTGACTTTCATCCTCTTTATCTCCTGCTGTGCTACTTTTTTCCCATTTTTTTCCTCCTAAAAATAGGAAATACTCTTCAAGTCCTTCACCTTTGTGCAAACAAAGAAGTGATTTGTTTTAGCATCTAAGCTGATGCCTGAGTTACATGCCTCAGACAGAAACCAGTGTGATATGAATCTGCTGTTTCTGGAGACTTGGACTCCAGATATAGTCTGAGTAGAGGAAAGAGCTGATAACATGAATACTTGGTTCTTATCCCACCAGCTCTGCTGCTTTTTCCCATCAGGATGCATGGCTGGCTGCCTGATTCCCATCTTTATCCCCAAAAATCAGAGCTATAGCTTCAGATGCTCAGAGACTCTAAACCATTATGGGAAGGCCATTATGGAATCATTGAATAGTTTGGGTTGGGAGGGCCATGGGCACACACCTTCCACTAGACCAGGTTTCTTCATGGCCTGTCCAGCCTGGCCTTGGACACTTGCAGGGATGAGGCAGCCACAGCTTCTCTGAACAACCTGTGCCAGGGCTCTCCACCCCTCTCAGTGAAGAGTTGCTTCCAAATATCCCATCTGTCCCTGCCTTCTGGCAGTGGGAAGCCGTTCCCCTTGTCCTGCCACTCCAGACTCTTGTCCCCAGTGCCTGTCCAGCTCTCCTGGAGTCCCTTTAGGCTCTGGAAGGGGCTCTAAGGTCTCGGTTTAAGCTGGACTGGTGGAGCTGGCAGTCAGTGCCAGCAGCGTGTGCTGGGTTTGATGTGCAGTCAGGGCATTGCAGGCTTGGGAGCTTTGCTGTCACCAAGTCAGGCCTGCTGGAGAAGAACAGTCGCTGCTAAGCAGCCAATGGAAATATCTCCATAATGTCTGTTCCAGAACAGAATAATGGGGTTTTCTTCCAGGAAGACACAGAAGCTGTGATTCCACTGGGATGCGGCATGCTGTGCGTGCAGCAGTAACAGTTCTGTGTGATACAGCAGAAGAACCAGTGGCCAAATGCCTGAGATCAAATCTGTTACAGTTGATGTGCACTAACTTGGAAGCAGGTAGAAAGGCAAATTCTTACTGTCCCTTAGGCAGGTTACCAGAGGCCAGAACTGATCTCAATGGAAAGCATTTGTCTTTTAAACAAGGTGCAACACAGAGCATTTCCATACCTGTCTGAAAGCATTACTGGAAATAAGTCGAGTGCACTTGACAGCTTAGCAAAATACTTTGAGACATTATCCTGGCAGCCTTTTGTTCTTAAATTTGTTCTAGTTCTTAGTGTAATTAATGTACTGAGTGCTGTCAGGGTGCTTGGGGCACTCGATGGCATGTTGGTGCTGTTTTTCTGCCTGCTGTATTTGCAAGCGGTTCAGCTCAGCCATCCATCTAGTTAGCGTGGCATTTCTGAAAATTAATACCCAATAATTCCTCCTTGAACAACTTGAGGAGGTGTCTGAACTCTTGCTGCCTTTCCCTCCTGAGCTATGAGCCAAATGTGTAACAGAGATTATTTGCTGACCTGCCAGAGACCTCGTAATTCCATGACATCCCATTTTGAGTGACTTTTGAAGGTGGTGTGCTAAGTGATCTTGTAGTTTGTACCCATATCTCTGGCTGGGGGAAAGCAGAAGTTAATTCTGCTGGTTTTGTGGTTTCCTGGCTCAGTTGTAGATGTGCTGGGAATGGAGATGCTTCAGCCTCCAGGCTGGTTGGAGCAAGGCAGTGGCAAAGGTTGATGTTGAGTGAGAAATGTCTTTGCTGAAGTGCTTCATGACAATCTTACTCCTTGTGTGAAGAGATAAGACCTTGTAAGACATGCAATCTATCCTCTGGGCAATTCAGGATGATTTGCTGTGAAACAATGAGTGTGGAGTTCCTATGGCTCAGTAAGTAGGGCATGGAGAAGGGCAGTAGGTTTCCAGAGTTTCTAGTTTTCTTTTTTAACTTGTTGGAACTTAAATTCATCTTGCTCCTGGAACATTGCCTGTAAATTCTGTCCAGGGATTTTAGTAGCTGATTTTATTGGGTTTGGGAGTAGAAGAGGAGCCTGCCTGTAACCAGGGACGAGCAGGTTTAGTATAAATGTGATTTTTGTTATTACTGTTTCTTCACACAGGAGCAATGTGTCCAGGTTGAGTGGCAAACCTGGCCTTTTAAAACATTATCTTGCTGCCTTTGTGAGCTGTTGCTGCCAGTGTTAGCTGAGCTGTTGGCTGGACGAAGCTACTCCCAGGCTCTCAGGCTGGTCCTGAGGTGCAGTCCCAGTGTGAACATTTGGATGTTGTCACTGCTGACATCACCACTTTGTCTGCTTGGCTCTCCTTTGTCTTGGAAAGGAGCCCTGGCTCTGACTGCTGAAGGTGTCTTTTGTATCCTGAAACAAGAAACCAGAGATAAGAGGTGGCTTTTTTACAGGTTGGACCCATCCAGCTGTGTGGAAGGAGTGGATAACCATGACTTGCTTAGGGAGAACATGGCTCTTCAACCCAGCCTGAGTTTGTCTCGTTTTGTGAAGCAGAGATTTTAAGATTTCAAAAGTATTTACTGTCTGGGTTATGATAAATTTGTATTCCCTGGCACATGAAGAATAATATTTATAGGAATCGCTAAATTCCTTGTACAGATCTGGTCAGCCTGAGGGTGCTCAGGCTGTGCAGGTTCTGAGCTGAGCTTTGCAGATGCAGGCTCTGCCATGGATTCTGGTGCATATTAGAGCTAGTCTTAAGGCTGTGTAAGGTAGAGCTTTGTACATTGGTGTAACTCAGCTGTGCCGAGTTCTGAGTTCTGTTACCACAGAATCACAGAAGCCTTCAGGTTGGAAAAGCCCGGGGGGCGGGGCCGGGGCCGCAGAGCTGCGCTGTGTCCGCCAGAGGGCGCGCGGGACCGGCCCCAGGCGGGCCGGGGTGAGAACGGGGGGACACGGGATGGGACTGGGGATGCAGGATGGGACTGGGGACACAGGGGACACGGGATGGGACTGGGGATGCAGGATGGGACTGGGGACACAG